ACACAGAGATCCCTGCGGTTCTATAACCATCAAAACAGACAGGTATCCCGTTGTGTTCTATAGGCTCATATCACCCATACAGGATCCCGTCGGATATCTAAAACCCATCACCCTGACAGACTCCTGAGTGGCGTTCTACTAAACAATCACCTGACAGGTCCCGGGAGGTTCTAAATAGAAACCATACCGTCACCATACAGGATCAACCCGTGAATCTATAACCATCACTCTGACAGGATCCCGTCGTTCTACTAACCACATAACACCTGTACAGAACCGCGGCGGTGGGGTTCTATAACCAACCTCACCTGACATGCGAATCCTGGTGGTTCTATTAACAATCCACCCTTGACATGACTCACCGGCTGGTCTATTATAACCCTCCCCCCTACCGGATCCCGGTGGTTCTCACATAACCATCCACCTGACAGGATCCACCGATGGATCTTCAATCAACCATCACCGTGACAGGATCCAGGTGATTCTATAACCATCACCAGACAGAAATCCCATCGGTTCTATCAACCATCACCTGACAGGAATCCCGTCGGTTCTATAACCAACACCTGACAGGATCCCGGTGGTCATAACCATCAACCCTGACAGATCCCGTCGGTTCTCATAAACCATACTCCTGACCAAGGATCCCGTGGTTCTATATAAACATCACCTAGACAAGGATCGCTGTGTGGCTTCTAATAAACATCACCTATGACAGGATCCCTGGTATCTATAACCATCACCTGACAGATTCCCCCGGTGGTTCTAAATAAACCATCACCTGACAACAATCCCGTGGTACTATAACCATCACCTGACAGGATCCTGTTGCGTATCTATATACCATTCACCTGACAGAATCCCGGTGGTTCTATAACCATCACCTGACAGGATCCTGTTGGTTCTATAACCATCACCTGACAGGATCCCGGCGGTTCTATAACCATCACCTGACATGATCCCAGTGGTTCTATAACCATCACCTGACAGGATCCCGGCGGTTCCATAACCATCACCTGACATGATCCCGTTGGTTCTATAACCATCACCTTACAGGATCCCGTTGGTTCCATAACCATCACGTGACATGATCCCGTTCGTTCTATAACCATCACCTGACAGGATCCCGTTGGTTCCATAACCATCACCTGACATGATCCTGTTGGTTCTATAACCATCACCTGACAGGATCCCGTTGGTTCTATAACCATCACCTGAAATGATCCCGTTGGTTCTATAACCATCACCTGACAGGATCCCTTCGGTTCTATAACCATCACCTGACATGATCCCGTCGGTTCTATAACCATCACCTGACATGATCCCGTTGGTTCTATAACCATCACCTGACAGGATCCCGGTGGTTCTATAACCATCACCTGACAGGATCCCGTTGGTTCTATAACCATCACCTGACAGGATCCCGGTGGTTCTATAACCATCACCTGACAGGATCCCGTCGGTTCTATAACCATCACCTGACAGGATCCCGTCGGTTCTATAACCATCACCTGACAGGATCCCGGTGGTTCTATAACCATCACCTGACAGGATCCCGTCGGTTCTATAACCATCACCTGACAGGATCCCGGTGGTTCTATAACCATCACCTGACAGGATCCCGGCGGTTCTATAACCATCACCTGACATGATCCTGTTGGTTCTATAACCATCACCTGACAGGATCCCGGTGGTTCTATAACCATTACCTGACAGGATCCCGGCGGTTCTATAACCATCACCTGACAGGATCCTGTTGGTTCTATAACCATCACCTGACAGGATCCCGGTGGTTCTATAACCATCACCTGACAGGATCCCGGTGGTTCTATAACCATCACCTGACAGGATCCTGGTGGTTCTATAACCATCACCTGACAGGATCCCGTTGGTTCTATAACCATCACCTGACAGGATCCCGGCGGTTCTATAACCATCACCTGACAGGATCCCGGTGGTTCTATAACCATCACCTGACAGGATCCCGGTGGTTCTATAACCATCACCTGACAGGATCCTGGTGGTTCTATTACCATCACCTGACAGGATCCCGGTGGTTCTATGACCATCACCTGACAGGATCCCGTCGGTTCAATAACCATCACCTGACATGATGCTGGTGGTTCTATAACCATCACCTGACAGGATCCCGGTGGTTCTATAACCATCACCTGACAGGATCCCGTCGGTTCTATAACCATCACCTGACAGGATCCCGTTGGTTCTATAACCATCACCTGACAGGATCCCGTCGGTTCTATAACCATCACCTGACAGGATCCTGGTGGTTCTATAAACATCACCTGACAGGATCCCGGCGGTTCTATAACCATCACCTGACAGGATCCCGTTGGTTCTATAATCATCACCTGACAGGATCCCGTCGGTTCTATAACCATCACCTGACAGGATCCTGGTGGTTCTATAAACATCACCTGACAGGATCCCGGTGGTTCTATAACCATCACCTGACAGGATCCCGTTGGTTCTATAACCATCACCTGACAGGATCCCGTCGGTTCTATAACCATCACCTGACAGGATCCCGGCGGTTCTATAACCATCACCTGACATGATCCTGGTGGTTCTATAACCATCACCTGACATGATCCCGGCGGTCTTATAACCATCACCTGACAGGATCCCGGTGGTTCTATAACCATCACCTGACAGGATCCCGTTGGTTCTATAACCATCACCTGACAGGATCCCGGTGGTTCTATAACCATCACCTGACAGGATCCCGTCGGTTCTATAACCATCACCTGACAGGATCCCGTCGGTTCTATAACCATCACCTGACAGGATCCCGGTGGTTCTATAACCATCACCTGACAGGATCCCGTCGGTTCTATAACCATCACCTGACAGGATCCCGGTGGTTCTATAACCATCACCTGACAGGATCCTGGTGGTTCTATAAACATCACCTGACAGGATCCCGGTGGTTCTATAACCATCACCTGACAGGATCCCGTCGGTTCTATAACCATCACCTGACAGGATCCCGTCGGTTCTATAACCATCACCTGACAGGATCCTGGTGGTTCTATAACCATCACCTGACAGGATCCTGTTGGTTCTATAACCATCACCTGACAGGATCCCGGTGGTTCTATAACCATCACCTGACAGGATCCCGTTGGTTCTATAACCATCACCTGACAGGATCCCGGCGGTTCTATAACCATCACCTGACAGGATCCCGTTGGTTCTATAACCATCACCTGACAGGATCCCGGTGGTTCTATAACCATCACCTGACAGGATCCCGGCGGTTCTATAACCATCACCTGACAGGATCCCGGTGGTTCTATAACCATCACCTGACAGGATCCCGGTGGTTCTATAACCATCACCTGACAGGATCCCGGTGGTTCTATAACCATCACCTGACAGGATCCCGTCGGTTCTATAACCATCACCTGACAGGATCCTGGTGGTTCTATAAACATCACCTGACAGGATCCCGGCGGTTCTATAACCATCACCTGACAGGATCCCGTTGGTTCTATAATCATCACCTGACAGGATCCCGTCGGTTCTATAACCATCACCTGACAGGATCCCGGTGGTTCACCATCACCTGACAGGATCCCGGTGGTTCTATAACCATCACCTGACAGGATCCCGGTGGTTCTATAACCATCACCTGACAGGATCCCGTCGGTTCTATAACCATCACCTGACAGGATCCTGGTGGTTCTATAAACATCACCTGACAGGATCCCGGCGGTTCTATAACCATCACCTGACAGGATCCCGTTGGTTCTATAATCATCACCTGACAGGATCCCGTCGGTTCTATAACCATCACCTGACAGGATCCCGGTGGTTCTATAACCATCACCTGACAGGATCCTGGTGGTTCTATAACCATCACCTGACAGGATCCCGGCGGTTATATAACCATTACCTGACAGGATCCCGTTGGTTCTATAACCATCACCTGACAGGATCCTGGTGGTTCTATAACCATTACCTGACAGGATCCCGTTGGTTCTATAACCATCACCTGACAGGATCCTGGTGGTTCTATAACCATCACCTGACATGATCCCGGCGGTTCTATAACCATTACCTGACAGGATCTCGTTGGTTCTATAACCATCACCTGACATGATCCCGGCGGTTCTATAACCATCACCTGACAGGATCCTGTTGGTTCTATAACCATCACCTGACAGGATCCCGGCGGTTCTATAACCATCACTTGAAATGATCCCGTTGGTTCTATAACCATCACCTGACAGGATCCCTTCGGTTCTATAACCATCACCTGACAGGATCCCGTTGGTTCTATAACCATCACTTGAAATGATCCCGTTGGTTCTATAACCATCACCTGACAGGATCCCTTCGGTTCTATAACCATCACCTGACAGGATCCTGTTGGTTCTATAACCATCACCTGACAGGATCCCGGCGGTTCTATAACCATCACCTGACAGGATCCCGTTGGTTCTATAACCATCACCTGACAGGATCCCGGCGGTTCTATAACCATCACTTGAAATGATCCCGTTGGTTCTATAACCATCACCTGACAGGATCCCGGCGGTTCTATAACCATCACCTGACAGGATCCCGGTGGTTCTATAACCATCACTTGACAGGATCCTGTTGGTTCTATAACCATCACCTGACAGGATCCCGGTGGTTCTATAACCATCACTTGACAGGATCCTGTTGGTTCTATAACCATCACTTGAAATGATCCCGTTGGTTCTATAACCATCACCTGACAGGATCCTGGTGGTTCTATAACCATCACCTGACAAGATCCCGGTGGTTCTATAACCATCACCTGACAGGATCCCGGTGGTTCTATAACCATCACCTGACAGGATCCCAGTGGTTCTATAACCATCACCTGACAGGATCCCAGTGGTTCTATAACCATCATCTGACAGAATCCCGGCGGTTCTATAAAAATCACCTGACGGGTTCTCCTCCTCTCCGTGGTCTTAGCTGATTGTTCTTCTTCTCAACTATTGCAGGTCAGCACATTGTTTGACGATGAGGAGGAAGAGTCTTCGGTCTTCCCTCTGAAAAGAGGAGCAGCAGACATTTCCTGCCCCATCGACCCCCCCTCCACCCAGGAGGAGATGGACCAGTCTGCCCACCTCATGACTCTTGGACTCTGTCGTATCTCCACCATCAAATCTCCTGTGGAAGCCTCCTGTCTAGAGCAGAGGACAGATGGACAGAGAGAGGCTCCGCCCCTCCGCCACCGCCAGCTGCCATGTCTCCTCTGTCCCGTGACGCTTCCATCCAGACGGATGCTCGGTGTCCACGTCCGTTCCCATAGAGCGGCCGGCGGCTTTGACTGTCCCAGCTGTGGCTGGACCTCCGACAGCTGGGAGGCGTTGGAGCTTCACTGGAGGAACCACAGTAAGAAGGGGAGGAGGAGGAGTAGGATGGGAAAGCAACCGAGGAGGAAGGAAGATCAAGAGCGTTACAAGGTCACGCGAAGGAGGGAGGAGCATCAGGGAAAGCAGAGGAGCTGTGGGAAGAACAGAAGGAGTGCTGCGCCAGGAAGCCCAATCAGCACATCCACAGGTGAGCTTCAGCTCCAGATCAGAGACTGATGATGCCCTGCCGCTGCTGATGGTTCTGATTGGTCAACCTCAGACAGATGGAGGTCCCAGCCAATTGAACAGACAGAAACAAAGAAGGCAGGGCTTCCTGACAGGTGAGTCCTGGTTCAAGTGGTTCTTTAGATGAGGGAAAATGCCCCGAGGTTGACCGTTGTTATTGGCCTTCCTTTTTATAGTGAGCTGAATGTGTCATCACTGGAGGAGCCACAGGAGAACCAACATTATTACAGGAAGCAGAATAGTTTGAGAATAGAAATTATTGTCTGATTAAATTACCTAAAATATCGGCATTCACCGGTCCCAAGTTTAGGATTCCTAAATAACTGAACAAATATCGTAACTCCTGCATCGGTCAACCTCTAAATTCAATCAGTGCCGTTTTTTTCAGCAATTCCCAAACAGACAAGCAAGAACAAATATGTGATTTCAGGAGTTCTGTTCCCAGTCAGACCAGTTTACTCCAAAGTGGTTCATCACAGAATGACTCAGGAAACAAGAAAACGGAGGAGCAGAAATGTGATGGCGAGCAGATTAGTCTTACTTGCTCACTGTGCCACAGGTAACTACATTACCCAGAATTCCTCTCCACACATAGCAATAGTTCCACCAATAAAATAAGAGCAAAGCGACTTAACCAGGATGTATTCTGTCTGCAGAAAGTTTTCATCTAAGCTCACACTGAAACGTCACCTGGGTGTCCACAGAGCGGAAAAACCTTTTATCTGTCCCCACTGTCCATACAGCAGCAGACTGAAGGCGTCACTGATGCAACATCTGAGAACTCACACAGGTAACATCCTCCTGGGTAATTACACAGGTAACATCCTACTGGTTAATTACACAGGTAACATCCTCCTGGATAATTGCACAGGTAACATCCTACTGGGTTATTACACAGGTAACGTTCTCCTTGGTAATTACACAGGTAACATCCTACTGGGTAATTACATAGGTAACATTCTCCTGGGTAATTACACAGGTAACATCCTACTGGGTAATTACATAGGTAACATTCTCCTGGGTAATTACACAGGTAACATCCTACTGGGTAATTACACAGGTAACATTCTCCTGGGTAATTACACAGGTAACATCCCCCTGGGTAATTACACGGGTAACATTCTCCTGGGTAATTACACAGGTAACATCCTCCTGGGTAATTACAAAGGTAACATTCTCCTAGGTAATGACACGGGTAACATCCTCCTGGGTAATTACACAGGTAACATTCTCCTTGGTAATTACATGGGTAACATCCTCCTGGGTAATTACACGGGTAACATGCTCCTGGGTAATTACACGGGTAACATCCTCCTGGGTAATTACACGGGTAACATGCTTCTGGGTAATTACACAGGTAACATCCTCCTGGGTAATTACACGGGTAACATTCTTCTGGGTAATTACACGGGTAACATCCTCCTGGGTAATTACACAGGTAACATTCTCCTGGGTAATTACACAGGTAACATCCTCCTGGGTAATTACACGGGTAACATTCTCCTGGGTAATTACAGGGGTACCATCCTCCTGGATAATTACACAGGTAACATCCTCCTGGGTAATTACACGGGTAACTTCCTCTTGGGTAATTACACGGGTAACATCCTCTTGGGTAATTACACAGGTAACATCCTTCTGGGTAATTACACGGGTAACATTCTCCTGGGTAATGACACGGGTAACATCCTCTTGGGCAATTACACGGGTAACATCCTTCTGGGTAATTACATGGGTAACAACCTTCTGGGTAATTACACGGGTAACATTCTCCTGGGTAATGACACGGGTAACATCCTACTGGTTAATTACACAGGTAACATCCTCCTGGATAATTGCACAGGTAACATCCTACTGGGTTATTACACAGGTAACGTTCTCCTTGGTAATTACACAGGTAACATCCTCCTGGGTAATTACACAGGTAACATCCTACTGGTTAATTACACAGGTAACATCCTCCTGGATAATTGCACAGGTAACATCCTACTGGGTTATTACACAGGTAACGTTCTCCTTGGTAATTACACAGGTAACATCCTACTGGGTAATTACATAGGTAACATTCTCCTGGGTAATTACACAGGTAACATCCTACTGGGTAATTACATAGGTAACATTCTCCTGGGTAATTACACAGGTAACATCCTACTGGGTAATTACACAGGTAACATTCTCCTGGGTAATTACACAGGTAACATCCCCCTGGGTAATTACACGGGTAACATTCTCCTGGGTAATTACACAGGTAACATCCTCCTGGGTAATTACAAAGGTAACATTCTCCTAGGTAATGACACGGGTAACATCCTCCTGGGTAATTACACAGGTAACATTCTCCTTGGTAATTACATGGGTAACATCCTCCTGGGTAATTACACGGGTAACATGCTCCTGGGTAATTACACGGGTAACATCCTCCTGGGTAATTACACGGGTAACATGCTTCTGGGTAATTACACAGGTAACATCCTCCTGGGTAATTACACGGGTAACATTCTTCTGGGTAATTACACGGGTAACATCCTCCTGGGTAATTACACAGGTAACATTCTCCTGGGTAATTACACAGGTAACATCCTCCTGGGTAATTACACAGGTAACATTCTCCTGGGTAATTACACAGGTAACATCCTCCTGGGTAATTACACAGGTAACATTCTCCTGGGTAATTACAGGGGTACCATCCTCCTGGATAATTACACAGGTAACATCCTCCTGGGTAATTACACGGGTAACTTCCTCTTGGGTAATTACACGGGTAACATCCTCTTGGGTAATTACACAGGTAACATCCTTCTGGGTAATTACACGGGTAACATTCTCCTGGGTAATGACACGGGTAACATCCTCTTGGGCAATTACACGGGTAACATCCTTCTGGGTAATTACATGGGTAACAACCTTCTGGGTAATTACACGGGTAACATTCTCCTGGGTAATGACACGGGTAACATCCTACTGGTTAATTACACAGGTAACATCCTCCTGGATAATTGCACAGGTAACATCCTACTGGGTTATTACACAGGTAACGTTCTCCTTGGTAATTACACAGGTAACATCCTCCTGGGTAATTACACAGGTAACATCCTACTGGTTAATTACACAGGTAACATCCTCCTGGATAATTGCACAGGTAACATCCTACTGGGTTATTACACAGGTAACGTTCTCCTTGGTAATTACACAGGTAACATCCTACTGGGTAATTACATAGGTAACATTCTCCTGGGTAATTACACAGGTAACATCCTACTGGGTAATTACATAGGTAACATTCTCCTGGGTAATTACACAGGTAACATCCTACTGGGTAATTACACAGGTAACATTCTCCTGGGTAATTACACAGGTAACATCCCCCTGGGTAATTACACGGGTAACATTCTCCTGGGTAATTACACAGGTAACATCCTCCTGGGTAATTACAAAGGTAACATTCTCCTAGGTAATGACACGGGTAACATCCTCCTGGGTAATTACACAGGTAACATTCTCCTTGGTAATTACATGGGTAACATCCTCCTGGGTAATTACACGGGTAACATGCTCCTGGGTAATTACACGGGTAACATCCTCCTGGGTAATTACACGGGTAACATGCTTCTGGGTAATTACACAGGTAACATCCTCCTGGGTAATTACACGGGTAACATTCTTCTGGGTAATTACACGGGTAACATCCTCCTGGGTAATTACACAGGTAACATTCTCCTGGGTAATTACACAGGTAACATCCTCCTGGGTAATTACACGGGTAACATTCTCCTGGGTAATTACAGGGGTACCATCCTCCTGGATAATTACACAGGTAACATCCTCCTGGGTAATTACACGGGTAACTTCCTCTTGGGTAATTACACGGGTAACATCCTCTTGGGTAATTACACAGGTAACATCCTTCTGGGTAATTACACGGGTAACATTCTCCTGGGTAATGACAAGGGTAACATCCTCTTGGGCAATTACACGGGTAACATCCTTCTGGGTAATTACATGGGTAACAACCTTCTGGGTAATTACACGGGTAACATTCTCCTGGGTAATGACACGGGTAACTTCCTCTTGGGTAATTACACGGGTAACATGCTTCTGGGTAATTACACAGGTAACATCCTCCTGGGTAATTACACGGGTAACATTCTTCTGGGTAATTACACGGGTAACATCCTCCTGGGTAATTACACAGGTAACATTCTCCTGGGTAATTACACAGGTAACATCCTCCTGGGTAATTACACGGGTAACATTCTCCTGGGTAATTACAGGGGTACCATCCTCCTGGATAATTACACAGGTAACATCCTCCTGGGTAATTACACGGGTAACTTCCTCTTGGGTAATTACACGGGTAACATCCTCTTGGGTAATTACACAGGTAACATCCTTCTGGGTAATTACACGGGTAACATTCTCCTGGGTAATGACACGGGTAACATCCTCTTGGGCAATTACACGGGTAACATCCTTCTGGGTAATTACATGGGTAACAACCTTCTGGGTAATTACACGGGTAACATTCTCCTGGGTAATGACACGGGTAACTTCCTCTTGGGTAATTACACGGGTAACATCCTCTTGGGTAATTACACGGGTAACATCCTTCTGGGTAATTACACGGGTAACATTCTCCTGGGTAATGACACGGGTAACATCCTCTTGGGTAATTACACGGGTAACATCCTCCCGGGTAATTACACAGGTAACATCCTTCTAGGTAATTACATAGGTAATGTTCAGGTAAAACCTGAGGATTACCGCAGTAATATACTTGAGTAGTCACCTTGGGTCAACTAAAGTCACCTGTGTGTGTGCTCTGTGTGTTTACAGGTGAGAAACCCTTCAGGTGTTCTGAGTGCCCATATGCTTCCATTGATCGCAGCTCTCTGCTGAGACACAGCAGGACTCACAGCCAGGAGAAACCGTACAATTGTCAGCTCTGTAGCTACAGCAGGTAACTTGTAGTTAATACCTGTCTCTGCAGCCAGTGGCCATGGCCTCAGTGTCTGTAATGACTACAGCAGTGGGTGTTGATTATATCCCTGGGTTACCATGGTAACTTTTTTTTTTTCTCTGTTGTCAGTATCCAAAAGAAGAGTCTGGACCTTCACGCACGACGTCATCACACAGGTGAGGTGTTTCCATGCCAGCAGTGCGAGTACTCCAGTCCAGACCGCCAACTGCTGCTGAAACACATTCGAAGACGCCATACCCCCTCCCAGCTCTGATTGGACTGTGAAGCTGCTGTTGATGTCACTTAGTGTGCTGGTCACATGTTTACATGACAATAAAAAGATTATTACTAATAATTTGATGAAAGTTTTTGTCATACCTGAATTCCATCAGACATCCAATACACCTGTAACACATCCGACGACCGTAACACCTGGGAAGACTTGGACGGGCCTCACTGACTTCATCAGATTGCATTGAGTCATTAGCTTGCAGAATTTAATCTTCCCAGGTGTAGCCACAGCAGCCCTGGGATAGACTGACTGAAATGATGCTGCCCTACATCGGCGCCATGGAGCTTCTGACCACAGCAGCAGATTAAGTGGCTGAAGTAATCCACATCAAGGGGACGGCGGTGGAGCGTGTGGACAGCTTCAAGTTCCTGGGTGTCCACATCTCTGAGGACCTGACCTGGACGACCAGCTGCTCCAAACTCATCAAGAAGGCCCACCAGCACCTCTTCTTCATGAGGACCCTGCGGAAGAACCATCTGTCCACAGAGATCCTCACGAACTTCTACCGCTGCACCATCGAGAGCATCCTCACCAACTGTATCACAGTTTGGTATGGGAACTGCTCTGCCTCGGACCGGAAGGCGCTGCAGAGGGTGGTGAAAACCGCCCAGCGCATCGCCGGGGCACCGCTTCCTGCCATCCAGGACATCTACAGGAAGCGGTGTCTGAAAAGGGCCGGGAAAATCAGCAAGGACCCCACTCACCCTGCACACAGACTATTCTCTCTCCTGCCCTCTGGGAGGCGTTACAGAAGCATACGGACTAAAACCACCAGGCACCGGAACAGCTTCTTCCCCACAGCTGTCACGCTTCTGAACGCCTCATGACACGAACTATAAGGACTGTACTCCCATCCCCCTACACAACAATAACCATGGACGATCCTCACACATACCACAAACTGCTTCCTCACACGCATTCACAATCCGTGTATATAATATGTCAACTTGTACCATACATTATAACCCCACTAATATATATATTTATATGATCCAGGTAACATCTCTGTATAGTTGTATACATGTATATAGTGTCTATATTCATTTACAGCCTCAATCACTGTTAATGCTGTTATACTGTTTATACATACATTTTATAGTCTATTTATACATACCCTCTGTACACTTGTAATGCATATTTATATCCTGTATAGCACTTCTGGATAGATGCTAACTGCATTTCGTTGCTTGTACTTGTGACAGTGCAATGACAATAAAGTTGAATTCTATTCTATTCTAAGTGTTTTCGACAAGGTAACCACTATGGAGACAGATGGATTGGGGGAACAAAAAGGCAACGCACCAGTTAGCTCCTGAGTCCCCATCACCCAGTATAACAAAAGACAGAATGCTTATCATGAGAAAAATACAAGTTGAAGGCTTGGATGAAATAATAGTTTTGGTAACTCTGAAAGTTCAACTGGATCAAAGCAGTCTAAACCCGGTTCAGATTCTATGGCTACCTCAGATGCTGCCCTACCCTCCAGAGATAAACCAATCGCGGATAGAGGAGTGCTTATGATCTTATTTTTAATAACATCTATCTTATTTATAAAGAATCCCATAAAATCATTACTGCTAAGAGTAGACAGAATGGACAGTTCAACAGAGCTATGGCTCTGGGTCAGTTTGCAAACTGGATTAAGAGGCTAAAACTCCCCTAGTTTTCATAAAATTATTGGTCAAATATTCTTTGTCAAACTTTATAAATGTAGTCAATAAAGTGAATTAAATGTGCGTCAAAGTGCTTTTATTTCATGAGCATGTTGCTCATTAATGAGCTGTTGAGCCGCTCTTGGACAGGATCTCCCTTCCAGTCTGGAGCTGCAGGAGGCTGCCTGTCATCCCTGCTGAGGTCTGGGCCTCGGTCTGTTGAAGGAAGCAATGAAAAAGTAGAGCCCTGACTGATTAACAAGCAAAAATCTGTCACTTCCAGTGAGGCAGCTGGGGCGGGTCATGAGGCTGGCTGCTCGATGCTGATTGGCCAACATACTGAAGGATTTCTGACTGACAGTGGCCAGGCAGCAAGGAGGTTTTTCTTCTGTACCGAGAAGGAACAGTGATCCTTCAGAAAAGTCATCTGGTGAGGAACTGTTGCCATGGTTTCTGGAGTTTATTATTTCAGAGGTATTTTCACCCTGTGCT